CACCCCCCCCCCACCTACGGAGACCGCTCCTACTCCAACCAGCTAAACCTGCCTCCTTGTGCATCCATATCCAACACCCCCGCCCCCTTGTTTATCTGTATGCAATAACGGCCTCCCTGTTCAGCTGTAGATAATAAAGAACCCTAGGTTGTGAGGCAGGGTGATGCTGGAGCTTCTTCATTAGATATTACATAGCCCAGGCCACCCAGCCGCATGTTAGTGTTTGCGTATCCCTGTATCTACTTTTTCTTCATGCCCTTGCTGCCCCAGTAAAGTCAATCATTGGAGCTTTGCACGATGCAGCCAGGGATGAGGGTTCAAACTCATCCAGGGTTCCCTCACTTGGTTCTGTGATCCGTGTACCTTGTGCTCTTGCTCCCACCTCCAGGTCTTTCTATCTGCTGTCCTTGGCCTGAGATTTTCTTCCTCCCTCCCTCCCTTCCTCTCTTCTTTTCTTACTTCTTTCCCTCCCTCCCTTTTTTCTTTCCTCCCTCCCTTTTTCCTTCCCTCCCTCCCTCCTCTCTTCCTCCCTCCCTGTTTTAGATCCAAGCATAGATATCTGCCTGAGCTCCGTGTCCCCGCCCCCAGGACGCCCTCCCAGACAGGACGCCCTCCCCAGCTCTCTCCTTCTGCACAAAGATTACAATGTCAACAAGTGGTTTCCTCACTCTCACCTGTCACTAGTGGAGCTCACTGAGGCCTCCACTCCTGCGGAAACTGAGGCCTAGGCAGTAAGGTGACCTGCCCAGAAGCATACAGATCTGGGACATTATCTCTTGAGATTTAAAAAAGCTATGTAGCTCTGGCTAATAAGCACATGCCACCATGTCAGGCTCTTTGAAACCCTGAAAGTCGGGCTTCCAGAAAGCTCAGCAGGTATGTGTCAGCCTCAGTTTACCCACATATAAAACACTGTTGCTGAGGGCGGTGGTGGTACATGTCTTTAATGTCTTTAATCCTAGCACTCAGGAGGCAGAGACAGGCAGATATCTAAGTTTGAGGCCAGCCTGGTCTACAAAGTGAGTTCCAGGACAGCCAGGGGCTACACAGAGAAACCCTATCTCAAAACAAATGAATAATCATCACCACCACCACTACCAACAACAACAACAACCATTGCTGGGACTCGGAGAGCTACCCACACAATGGCATATCTCCCAGTCACAATGAAGCTCTACCAGGCACTACCACTCTGGTGAAGCCCAAAAGTGCAGTAATCAGCGTAAATGGTCCCTAAGAAGGGCCATGAGATTGCTCACAGGAAATGTCCAGAATGACCCAGGACTGTAATTTCTGCATTCAGGAGGCTGAGTGTTCAAGGCCAGTCTGGGATTAAAAAGAGAGCTCCAGGCCAACTAGGAATATGGAATAAGACTTTGTCTTAAAAGGCCAATGAAGGAGCTGGAGAGATGGCTCAGCAGTTAAGAGCACTGGCTGTTCTTGCAGAGGACTGGGGTTTGAGTCCCAGCACCCACGTGGAAGCCACAACCATCTGTAACTCCAGTTCTGAGGAACTCGACAGCCTCTTCTGGCCCCTGCAGACACCAGCCACAGATGCCATACTGCCAGACATGCAAGTAAACCACCCACGCATGCAAAATAAAATAATAATTTTAAATAAAAATAAAGACTATTAAACAACACAAAATTAATAAAAATTTTACAACAGAATTGAAGGTTAAATGCACAGAGGGCACATTTATGTGTGTGCCCGTAACCATTAACCTAGGTACAGGGCATCTTCATGGCTGCAGCCTTTAGCAGTCACCTCAAAGACCTGGCTGTGTGAGTCTGTGGCTTTGCCTGTCCTAATCATTTTTGAATCTGTGGGGGCGAAGGGCTGGAACAGTGTGGGCGTACACATGCCACTTGTGGAGGCCAGAGGACAACCTCTGATGTTGTTCCTCGGGTGCTGTCTACTTTGTCACGTGTGTATGTGTGTGTGCACGTGCACACGAGTGCATGTGCATGCCTGTGTGGCTGCAGCAGGATGTCCAGTATCTTCCTCAACTGCTCTTCATTTTATTGCCTTAGACAAGGTCTCTCACTAAACCAGAATCTCTCTGCCCTCCAACATGGGGCAACAAGCACATGCCGCCATGCCCAGCCATTTATATCAGGGCCAGGGATCTGAACCCACGCTGGCTTTCTACATGGTGTTCATGCCTGTACGGCATGGGCTTGGCTGAATGAGCCATCTCCCCAGACAAGTGGACAAGTTTATTTTATAGGCTTTTCCCACAATTTAAAACAAAGAAGAGGTAAGGTGAAGCCACCTACCCAGTAACACTCTGACAAGAAAAAAACTTGTGTGCCAAAGGGCCAGATCATGCTTTCCGGCTTCCCCATAGTCTCTGTACACCCACGGGGTCAGAGGTTTCACAAGCCATGACACATGTCAGTCAGCACTCCTAGGAGGCTGTGTTGGTGCTGGGTCCTCTAACTGCTGCAGAACTGGGGGTTCCCACTGGGTTTTCTCTGGAGCTCTTTCCCACCGTCTCTGTGTGGATTTCTTTGTACTTAGTCACCATCTATTCAGTGGAGTGTGGGGACACAGGGACCCAGCAGAGGGGACACTGAGGGAGGTGGGGACCCAGCAGAGG